GGGAGGAGGGAGCAGGCGGGGGAGCCGGCAGGGGGAAAAAGAGAGAGAGAGAGAGAGACAGAGAGAGAGAGAAAGGTGGGGGGGGGAGGGAGCAGGAGGGGGAGCCGGCAAGGGGAAAAGAGAGAGAGAGAGAGAGAGAGAGAGAGAGAGAGAGAGAGAGAGAGAGATCATGGATGAAGAGTCCTGAGTTCTGACATTTATCACCCCAGATAAAATCCAGAGTACCTTCAAGCAACTTCATTGTCAACGAGACCAAAATTGTGAACTCGAGTCAGGCTAAAATACTGGATATGTCAGTCCCATACTTTGTAAGAATCACAGTCTGCCTTCAGACTCTACAGCAGAGAGATGAATGGTCCCAGCAAATATGTGATTCTTTAACAACAAATCCTGGAAGTGAGTACTCATGCAGATTCTTAGGTGTCAGAAGCAAGGAGTTTTTGGGGTTAGTTTCTTTGGTCTGTGGATAAGTTTTGATGCATTGTATTAGATAATCAAATTTAACATATCGCTCATTTTCTAGCTCTACAAATAGATATGATGGTCGCATAACTCTTACAGGGAAGCTGAACCCCCCAATTGAGCTAAATATGATTAACATCAATGTTATTGTTATTCACATGTGTTGATAGATTTCGGAAAATGGGAACCTCGGGTTTTCATAGAGCGGGTTGCATTTTGTGATGCAAAATACGCTTCTGTGCCAGATTCGAAGCAAACGACATTTATCACACTGTATCTTTTCGTGCACGCTCAAAAAAACAAAACAAAACCGTGTACGCTTAACATCCCTAGACTTTTTCCCGCAGCGCCAGGACTTATAAGAAACCTGAAGATTACCCCGGATGTCCATTCTTTAGGACTGTCCTGGGAAGACCCGGACGACACTCCTCCTACAGGATTACTGGACAGGGTGAATATAGCAGTGAGCAACACATGCAAGACATTGCTCATGTTTCAAAGGGATATTCATGGTTTGGTTCGCGACTCCGGAAAGAGGTCTTTTACCGTCACTAATCTCCAACCAGATTCAGACTATACTATTAAGGTAGGAGAGACGGAGAGAGTGGTTACGTATGGTCGGCTTAGGGTAAGAAATCGCTGCAAAAAAATAGTTTGCTGTGTTCCTTTCAGGTGAACAGTAGAGGACATCTTAACTTTGACAGAGCAATGAGTGACTTATTCCTACAACGACAGTGTAATCCTTAGTGGGCCCTATCCTTGGCTCTGATACACTTACATATAAACGCTCACATACGAACCCTAGGGTGGTTGTCGGGCCCAGACTTGTGGGGTATAAGCGGGCTTCCACACCTTATTGCCTTCACGTTTCAATGGTTAAAGACAAGGGGAATAACGCGGTGCCACTTTTGCCGTGGTCGACCGCGCAAGTATTCTGAAGATTTGTCCCATCTTTTAAGTTTCCTCTCTTATCTTAGCATAATTAATTATGTCTACTTAACTGCCAAATGACTATCACAGTGCTCTACAATGATATTGTATCCCTAGGAAAAACATAAGGCAAGCTTCTCTCTCTTAATACTCACAGTAATGAAATTTGATTTTGAATTCTTTGAATATGAAAATCATAAGATAACATAACCATTGCAGATGGGCGCCTTAAACAAAGGATATGGACAGTACAAAAGTGTGGAATTAAACGCACGCACTCTTCCTGGGGGTAAGTCGCAATGATCTCCTTATGTTCTCTTCGATATTCATTCAGGCTGAGAACCTCATTGTCATGTTCTAAAGTGCCTATCTAATCATGCCAGCTCTTGGTGTTTACCGTCATATTCACTATCATCAGTTTGGTCAAAAGATGCCATTGAGAAATGAGCTGATATGAAGGAAAAGCAGATAATCTTTTTTAGCCTCGGCATGACTGACTTCTCAACATGTACTTCTCGATCCCCGCCAAAACAGTCCCATCGTCGCCACGAGCTCTCCTTGCCCTGCCCTGGAGCAGCACAGAGGTCCTCCTGTCGTGGGCGCCGCCAAACGAGCCTCTGGGTGCCCTTCTCAACTACACCGTCTGGGTTAATGGAAAGGTCGACACGTGCAAAGAGGACACGCTCCAAGTGCTTCGGTGCAAGGTGAATATTATCATTATTTTTGTTATCATTATCATATGGTTATGGTTATAGTTATTAGTGACATTAGTGTAAAGTCATGGATGGGGTGAGCTTCTATAAAGGGTTCTAGACAAGCTTCCCTAAGACTTTTCATGGCCGAAAATGTCATTTATCATGAACAATCCGTGTAAATAAAAATCATGGTTGGCTGTATTCCCAAAAACATACTAGTCCCATAACATGTTAATAAAGCTCTAATGTATGCCTTAGGGTACTTGAATTTGGCGACCTGGCCATGGAAGGAGGGACCAGCCCAACCTCATTTTCATGATGAGATGGTATCTTGGCTGATGCCTGAAATTTGTTCCAGGTGGCTCCGTATTTTGTTATCAGGTAGTCAGTAGGCTGCAAGGGGACGCCTGTGG